TTTTTCATTCTTTGATCAGGTATAACCCCTTCCTCCATTTTCTCTTCCGCTACGCCCAATTAATTTTTTTTAAACAATCATTTAGTAATCTTTCATTATGCTTGCTATAATTTTGGATTGTGAAAAAACATATTGAGATCAATTGAATTTAATTAGGTTAATAAAATTTATAATTTTTTTTTTTTAAATCTTAGATATGAACCTTGCAGTTATAATTTTACATAAACTAATTTCGATTCATTTAAAAAAGAAAAGAAAAAAAGAAATGGACTTAAGGATACGTGTATTACAGATAAAATTAATGGTATAAATAAAAAATTGCTGAAAATTTATACAAAATATTTAAATATGTTGCATATAATTTATCAGTTTGATTTAATATCTTTTCTTCAATTTGTTTTTATTAAAATCAAACCAAATCAAATATTATTTATTTTTACAAATTTAAAATAAACCCAAAACTAATATTGATCTATTCAATTGATTTGATTCCATTTTGAAGTTGCATCAATTTTTTTTATCAAATTATAATAAAACACCTTAGCCATTTTCATCTATTAATCATTCTCTATTGTTATAAAACAGAAGAAAATTATCATTTAATTCCTAGTGGATTAAAAATTAAGTCACAAATTGCATTAGCGTTGGTGAATCTTAAACAAGTCGGATAAAGTTAGTAAACGGTAAGAAATATATATATATATTTCTTGTTAACGATATTTTGATTGAATGATAAAAGCGCATTACAAAAATGTATATCATAAATTCAAACCTTATTACATAACTCAAAAAATTGTTATTTAAATATAGAATAGTAAAAAGTACGAATCCATTATCTAATAAAATTCAAAAATAAAAATAAATAAATAAATATATATATACTTTCAAACGATCATTAAACTATCGCCACTCCATCATATTGTTTATCACAAAACATTGACAAACTAGTATGTATACTTCATTAATCATAATTTGGTAATAGCAGCATTGGAATTTCACTATTTCTCAACTCAAGCAATCTATTGGCTGCATGAACATACATAACTTCCATTAGCTTAGATCCCACCATGGGAGACGAGTTTCGGAATTTAAAAATATTTATTAACTTGAACAAACGTAAATTGAAATTAACTTAAACAAACGTAAATTGAAAGTAACAATGAATGCATCGTCCAAATCAATCATGTCACATAAGGTCAAACTCTTCCATTGAGGACTCATAACTTTGATTGTATTTAATTCTTTTTATAAATGATGAGATAAAAAATTTAGACACGAGAATGTTGAGCAAACCTTTTGAAGAACGTCATTGAGAATATTTGTAGAATCTATATGACGACTTGTAGGCTAGTAGAAGCGGGCAAATCAAGTTTGAGTGTTGATAATAATAATGAAATATACAAGTGAAACATAAACAAAAAACTAGAAATATAGTTTCACTTGTGTAGTTCATCATTATTATCAACATATCAAAAATCGATATGTCTACTTCTACTAGCTTACAGGTCCTTGATATAGATTCTACAGATATTCCTAACGGCTTTCTTCAAGAGGTTTTCTCAGCATTTTCGGTGGCTAAAATCCTTATCTCTTCATTTATGTAAAAGATCAAATAATATCAAAGATATGAGTTATCACTGAAAAAGTTTAACCTTAAATAACATAATCGATTTGAATAATGCTTTCATTATTATTACTCCTAATTTAGATTCGTTCAACCTAATAAATATCTTTAAATTCCAATCAAGACTAATGGAAGTTGATGGTTGATGTGTGCTCATGCAACCAATAGCTACTCATTGTTGATTAGTACACTGAATTGTATAGAATGAACCAAAGAACATGTATAATATATAGTCAAAAAGAAGAGTTTCACAATCAGAACCTAGCAAAAGCATAATTTTGTTTCAAAGCTTCGTTTCATTCCAGCAACAGTAATCGGCAAATTGAATTGCAGAAATTTTAGTTTTTTCTCCTCCTCCTTGTTTTTTTTCCCTATAGGATATGGCTTATATGAGTGAAGCATTAGTCTTTATATAGTACTATAATATATAATTTAAGGGAACAAAATCTAGCATTTGCATGCTAATATTTAAACACAATTATGTTTCCTTTAATTAGTTTCCAACTATAATATAAAACTTTATGGGATAAAAAATCTAGAGTATTAATGTTAAATTAGGTCTTAGTGCCTAACTCAAAACCCAAAAGCTGGCTCAAAGGGAGGAGGATTGTCCAAGCCTTATAAGGAGTCCACCCATCTCATTAATCACCAATGTGGGACTTTTGTCATTCTTTAACAATTAATACTAATATATGTAAATATTATTATGTTTCCTTAAATTAATTACCAACTATGAAAAGATTAGGATATGATTCATGTATCCCAATACATGCTCAATTATTATGGGAAAATGATAATGGATTAAATGTTATTTAAGATCCTCCTTCCTAGATTATTTTTAATTTTTTATTTAACTTGTCAATCTCTTTAGATATAGTTATTCTCAATTATTCAAGAAAAATATTTTAAAATTATTTTCTCATTGATTATATGGAATGTATAAAAGAAACTCATTTTATTCTAGCAAAACTTAAAAGGAAAATTAGCACTTTGAGTCTCTCAAATATCGATAAATGGTGATCCTTGTAATATTGTCTAAATATATTTAATCTTTAATTAATAAATATATGCATTTTTGGTTCCTCTGATTATGAATTTTCACAAATTTAATGAATTATTAAGCGTTAAACTGCTTGGTCAATATGTTATGTTAAATTTTAATGTTATTTCGTATTTAGAGATAATATTTACTTATAATTATTCTCCATTAAAATTTCAATTATACAGAGATTCTCTTGCTCAACTATTATGGCAAAATAATATTTCAATAAATGTCAAAGATTCTCATCATTTTCACCTCCTCATTGTTTTTAATAACTTCAACATATCTTTATGTTGATTTCATTTCATAGAATATTTAGTCAAAGTCAGAATGACTTTTTTTATTATAAAAAATAGTTAAATTCTATTATATTTGAGAAAAATTAAGTAACTTTTGTATTTAAAAAGATAATACAGTAAGTTTGTTGTAGTAAAATAAAAGATAAGTGACAATATGTGATTTTTTAATAAAAAAACTCCCCTAGATTTCCAAGTTAATATGTCAATCTCTTTAAAGCTATTCCTTATTAGCTCTAGGGAAAAGGCCAAAAATATTTTCTCATAACATGGGAAATTAATAAGTTTATCTTTCCTTCCATCAAATCAAAACTAATATACACTGGAAAATAATTATATAGTGATAGGATTTTTGGTCCTGACCTTGAGTTGTTGATATTTATATCAATGACTATAAATACACATTTTAGTTAATTAAAAGTCAAATACATTTAATCCAATATTAAAAAAATAAAATCCCCTCCCTCCCTCCCACTCAATAATTACATATTTATCAATAATGAGGGGGGGGGGGGTTGTGATTTAAAATATGAAACATGTAGTAAAAAATATATATAGTTTAATTTTATTTAATGAATCTCTTTGCTTCCAATAGTTTTGTTGTGGGATGTAAAAATACATTACTCTATAACTAATAACAAATTTTATTTTATTTTTAAATTGGGGATAGATGAGGGATAAATGGGGAGGGGATTACGATGTGTAGAATCGAATGATATTAAATTGTTCACATTCGATATTTATATCCAGTGTTTTCAAAAACGTTTTTGGGGTGAGTCTCGGGGTGAGGCGTATCAAAAACGCTTTGGGGCATAAATTAAAGACGTAGATCCATAAGGCGTAAGTCCTAAAATTTGAGGCATAAGCCCCAAGCATAAAAACGTAAGTCTTGGACGTAAAAACATACGGCCGGACGCTTTTAATTTATTTTTTAAACTTTTTTTGCTTTAAATCATATTTTTATTATTTACGATATTTCTCAAATAGTAATTATAATACGTTTTTTCTTCATTATTGATTATTAATACTTATCTCAAATAAAAATCATAAATCAAAGATATAGTTTTGCTTATTTTATTAGTAATAAAACTATAAAATTGAATATACATGAGACTACGCTGCGCTGATCCATGGGACTTACGCCCCGTATCTAGGGGCTTACGCCTTGCCCTGTACGGTATAAAATACCTCGCCTCACGCCCACTCCTTTTAAAACACTGTTTATACCTATTCAATAAATATCAAGTGTCGATAAATATGTGCTAGTTTGACTTTTTATTGGAGATACAAAGCAATAAGCACCAGTGGTCTAGTGGTAGAATAGTACCCTGCCACGGTACAGACCCGGGTTCGATTCCCGGCTGGTGCATTTGAGAGTGCTGTGATGATTATTGTACAAATATGTGAAGTAGGGTCTTCACTACCATCTGATATATGAGATGAAATCTTGTGCATCTGAGCTCTCCATTTATTTTTAGCTATTTTTTAGTGGATTATATGACTTGATCCAATAGAGTTCGAACACCTTTTATCTAAATGAAATACTATTTTTTAGTGGATTATGACTTGATCCAATAGAGTTCGAACACCTTTTTATCTAAATGAAATGGTGTTTGATGAAAGGATATAGATTCTATACTATGATGTGGGTTGAAAAGGGTTGCTTCGAAGATTATAAAAGATATTAGGGATAAAATCGTAAAGAGTTTAGTCAAGTCAAAAGTACTTATGAGATGTAAAACTACCCGTTAGGGGTAACCAACATATGATTTTTGCCTAATTTTGGATTATGATATTTTATCTGACAATAAATGGGAAAGTTCAAAGCAAAGTCCTTTTGCATAACAATCTTCTCACTTCACAATGAATAGTATTTCATTTAGATAAAAAGGTGTTCGAACTCTGTTTAAATTTGTTTCTTACTTTTTCCTTTTAATCTGTTTCAAAATGAATACCTTTCATTTTTTGACAACTTTTTAATTATGAGTTCCAACTTTTTAATACGACAAGATTAAAAGCGCTTTGGTACATTCTACATATTTTTAGTAAAAGGGTTAATGCATAGGGATTTTTTCAGTATGTTTTAATGAACAAAACTTACCATCTTATGTTAATTATGTTTCTTGTACATCAGCATAAAATTTATCTACAAGTTCTGTTAAACCAACTGTACTCCCTCCTCCTACTTTCTGCAGCAAGCTGTTGAATGTGGTTTTCAAATGCTTTCTCCCCTCTGGTTGACTCCAGAGAACCTTAAGGACATCTGGGGGATAGATCGGTGCAGGCTTAGCTACCAACTGCTGACCATCTACTTCAATTCCGTTCAGCCTTGGAACGTACAGAATCAAATCAGAAATGATGACGAGGGAAGCAAACGCATAGTTAAAGGAAGCCAATATCGGATAAGCAAGCAACTACCTGTTTATAATCTCTAACATTCGTGGCCATTCAGCAAATTTGAAATGCACGTCCATGACGCCAAAAGCTTTCGTGAAGAAGTACCTAGTCTGTCCCAGTTTTTTGCAAAAGGAGATCACTTTGGCCCTGGAAGTGACAGGGATATTTGATATCCTTACAATGGTTGTTCTTGGTGCATCGATTCGCAAGATTGATAGTGTCTCTCCAAGCATGATCAATGAATGTTTCGCAATAGCAATTTCTTTGCCCTCTACTGTCTGGTAGAAGAAGGTTTTGAATGTAAATAAACTGTACTTATTTGCTAGCATTAGAAATTCATTTTGTCAATAAAAACCTCGACTAGTCAAAAACCTACAAGATTGGATTAACTCAAAAGAGGGAAACGAAGGAAAGTTATTCCATTAGAAGCAAATTACCTCAAATTCCACATAAGCAACGGAGCTTGACGAACCAAAGAAAATTCCAGTTATGTTGCTTCCGCAAAAGGCAAGAACTTCTTCGATGTCATGAAAGGACACATTGTGCTTCAATTCTTTTATCATAACTGTCCTTGAAGGATGCTTTACTAATGAGGTGGGAACTTCTGGATGACCAATTAAATCAGGTATACACATCCTCTCTCTCCCTTTCGGAGGAAAAGTGGCCTCCACAACTACTACATTCCTAATGACCGTATCAGACCATTTAAGAGCCTTTTGCTTTCCTTTTTTAGACTGCAAAAGCCAAAAAATGGTAAGTGGAAACTAGAATGTGAAATTAGCTGTTCAAATCAAGAGCCTACACTGCCACCATTTTGAGAAACATTTAATTCACAGCAGAACAAAGTTGGTGCTGAACATATCATTTTGTGCAAGCTGTGTGAAGAAGCGATGCAAAAACAAAATGCACAGAGGAGCATACTTCCATAAGAAAATCAAACCGTGACATATTATCGGGTTTAGCACCTCAAGTTGAACGATAGAGAGGACGTCTTGCTAAATAATGGCACCCTTTGTTTGTACCAGTAACACGTATTTTTAACAACATTTAGTTATTAAATTGGCATAACATTAAATCAATTTCAGTTTTGCATCTATTCATTAAACAACAGGGTAGTAGAGCACTAGAGTCTAGAGCTACACTACGTTCAAGTGAAAGATCTAACTTCAGTCCCTACACCTTGAACCATCTCCTTGAACAAGCATAACCAAGGTACATCAGCACTGTCTGTTTCCTGCTGAAGTGCAGCTCATTTCATATTGGTCCAAAAAATACGTGTCTTTATCTTGTTTTTAATTTATTTTATTTCTGTTTTTCCTTTCCTTTTTCTTTTCTTTCCTTTTTCTTTTTAATTGCTCTGTAATTTATTTATTTTTACAACTATAGGAAGTCGAGAACACAGCCCTGAAAGAAAATGGTCAAAAACCAGAATACTGAAAACATACCTCAAAATAAATGTGTGCAACTTTATAATTAGTTGATATGACACTTGGAAACACAACCTTTGTAATAGCCCCACAACCCTTGAAACCGTCACAGACATCCTGTTCTGTAGCTTTTACATTCACAAACTTTATAGTCATTTTGTTTTCATCTGATAAGTTTTCAGATAAAGAGGCATCCTCATCCTTGTTCAGGTTACCCTTTTCCCTCAAAGATGTAATCTCTTCAGTTTCTATTGACTTGAAGAAATCACGAGGTGCAGTATTCCTGATCTCTGTTCTTTCATCACCCGGGTTGAGATCTTCAACGACTTCGCTAGATATCCCACCCTTCTTTCCAATCACACCCTGAGATGAAGTCTTTCTTTTTTTCCTGTCAGTTGACTGCTTGTTAGTTTGTGCTTGGGTGCTGTTACTTGCCTTTCTTTCACTATATCTGTCAACACTTCTGTCAACAACAATTTCCTCAGGCCTAACAACAGAATGATTCTGAGGAGGGAGCACCCTAATACATTCTATTAAGCCCTTTATGTCGCCACTCTTGCCGAAAGTATTCTGAGAAGTTTCATTAAGGTGCTCAAACTCTCTAGGTACAGATTTTTCACTCTTTGGGGCAACAATCTGATTGATTGCTCGATGATTGGCCTCCATGTGAGAAGACCTATTGGAGACTGATGAAATTTCGTCCATTTTGGTATTAGAAAGTGAGATCGGAATAGAGATGTCTTTGGCTGGAAAATGTTCATTTGCAGGGGAAACTGATGAAATTTCATCCATTTTGGTATTAGAAAGTGAGATCGGAATAGAGATGTCTTTAGCTGGATAATGTTCGTTTGCAGAGGAAACTGGTTTTTTTACAAGAACATCCCGCCATTTGTTGGTTGTTTCACTCAGTAAGATACTATTAGAACATTCGACCTGCTTGAGATTGGATGTTCTTTTCCCAAAAACTGACATAATGTCTGATATTACTTCCTCATTTTGCATTTGGCCATTCTTAGCCTCCAACTCTGGTTCATTATTTCCTTTTTCCTGAGAAGCATCTACTAAGCTGGCAACCCTCTTTGCGACACATGATGAATCAGAGGTATCCTTCCGTCCATGTTTTAAATTTGACGAAAATTTGAACTTCTTCATAATGTCCTCCTCCTGGCTTTCAGATGCAGGTGAACCAGATTTATTTGCAGAAATTCTATGTGATGTCCTAGGTATCTCAATCTGCATCCGATGTTCTACGATACATGCATTCTCAGATTTTGACAGGATCTCTTCACCAGAACTGATTTGTACACTTGATGATGCTTCCTCATCTAGCAATTGTTCTCTCTCTTTCTTAACTAACTCTGAAAGATGGAAATCATTAATCGGTTGAACACCATCGTTGGAATCGGCTTTTCCACAGATAGATGATGCACCAGAAGACATATCATTTACCCCGTAATCAGTGCTTCCTTCACATTCTTTTGAAGAGATATTTAGCAATTCCTCAGTCACAGCTGTATTTGAAGTGTTTTTCATATTAACAATCTCAGCAGCTATAAAAGAAGACAGAGATGTTTTACTGTCAACATTTTCTTCCATAGTAGTTATAGATGTCTTTTCTGAATGAATTGTACTCTTAAGATTATTCATACTTCCACTATCATGACTATAAGCAGATACAACATTATCAGAATCCTTAAGATCGGAAGTGGAAGTTAATGAATGAGCGCTACTGCTCTTCTGCTCCAAAATATTTCCAAATATCTTCTTTTTAGCTATTTGAAAGGTCGCTACCAAACTATTCCACGGATCTACTTCCTTCTGGACAGGTGTTTCTCTAGGAAAGACCTCTTCATTTTCAGTCATAAGCCTATAACAACAATGATCCGAGATATGTTTCAGAACAAATGAGATATTAGAGGATAAACTTGTTTAAGAAATAAAAGTTTGCTCATTGTTACGAAATGGAAAAAACAGATACACAGGCACTCAAATACACAACATACTGTAGACTTTTGCAAGCTGAAGAATCTATATTATCAAAAACAGAGAGGAAAAAAGAAGATATAAGAAAAGAAGCACCCTGTAAATATGACTCTACTGCATAGACTGGTTTAAGCCAAAGAACTGAAAAAGCAACTGATCTGCATGAAATTAGTCCATCACTAGTATGATATCCATTTCACATCTCGGAGTATGCTACAAAATCCCAATTCACCTTCTAACTTAGTTTTAGAAAATTGCACTCTCTACTTTTAGATACCCAACATTCATGTCCACAGTTAAACTGCAACATATTTCATCATAATGATCTCCACTGTGCAGTTATGGCAGTTAAACAATCTCAGTTAATAGCTACTTCGTAGGCATGTATTCCCAAAAGAAGATCACCCTGACCTTTTGAAGATGAGACATCATTTACAACCTATGTTGCTCGGATACGGGTGCGGATATCCGATATGGGTGTAGATCTAGGGGTCGAATTCATCATCAAATAAATTTTAGGATTCGGGGCTACGAACTGAAGTACGGGTGCAAGGATATGGCTAATAAATGTATATTACAACATATAAGTCGTAATGCAAGTATACATTTTGCACAAATAAAACTCTAAATCAAACCAATTACTCAATTAACCGATAGTTCTTGGCCATAACTGTAGTTAAAGCACACGAGTTAGGTTGACCAAATCAATGCGGATTCTACACCCAAATCATGTTGGATTGACACTCAACCCGAATGGGCAGGGATTTTGAAGATTCTGAGCAACATGATTATAACAACTACACATCAATCCCAAACTTGGATCCAGCTATATGAATCCTCAATATCCACTATGCTTCAGTTGGACATGTTTCATTCCAATGTCAGATTTTATTTTGTAAGACATATTGGCAGCATTAGAGGTCCTCTACACTTCACGTACAAATATCTAACAAACTGATACCACACCTTATGTAAGTGTACTAACACTATTGAACCTCATTGCCTATATGAATTCTCTTCTTAGTTAAATCCGCATAGATTCAAAAAGATAGCATATCATTGAGACAACTACCCTCCATGTGACTTTAGCTATATCTTGTCCTTTTTTTTTAACACCATAATGTTGCACTAAAGTACTGGTGCATCCGGCGGTCAATGTAGGACATAGTCAAGTCATCTCATTCTCATTTATTATCTTTGTGTTCTACTTGTACCGTCTGCCTTGGGTGTGATTATTTCTAATTTTGTACAAGTACGTGTCCATCTTAAAATCTTATTTTTATGCTTCATCTAAAAACATCTTATTCGTTGATAATCATCTTGTAGATATTGTTGTGCAAATGCATACTTAATAAGTAACTAATAATTTTGAGGACCTTACTTATATTATCATCAAATTTCAACCAAATAGTTAAGCTCAAAATGTAGGTAAAGGTGCATACTCTTTCTAATTAAGAGATCTTACTTCTTTTCAGCTATCTCCACATCCGTGGCTTTCAGCTGCTCCACCACTTCTGATTTCTTCAACGGCTGTGAAATTTCACCCTTACCATTCACGGAAGAACACCATCTTCTACATTCTGTAAATAGGAACTAGCTGCATTAACACACACAATTGAAAAGAACAGTACTCCTCAACCCTCCCTCCCTAAAACCAAAAGAAAAGACCAAGAACAACATTTTACAACCAAAATGATAAAAGAAAAAAGACATAATTTTTTTTCCAAATGGGTATCAGATAAACTACTTATTCACTCTTCTACATTCTGTAAATGGGTTCATTAACACACACAAGTGATATAATCAATACCCTTCAACCCCATCCACCCCACACCCAACATTTTGAGACCAAAGGAAAAAGATTCACTTTGTTCCAAATTGATATCTGATAAACTACTTATTCACTCTTCTACACTCTACAAATAGGTTCATTAAACACAAGTGATAAAATCAATACTCCTCAACCCCATCCACTCCACACCAACATTTCGAGACCAAAAGGAAGGAAAAAGATTCACTTTTTCCAAATTGGTATATTGTAAACTACTTATTCACTTTCTACATTCTGCAAATAGGTTCATTAACACACACAAGTGATAAAATCAATACCCCTCAACCCCATCCACTCCACACCAACATTTCGAGACCAAAAGGAAGGAAAAAGATTCACTTTTTCCAAATTGGTATATTGTAAACTACTTATTCACTTTCTACATTCTGCAAATAGGTTCATTAACACACACAAGTGATAAAATCAATACCCCTCAACCCCATCCACCCCACACCAACATTTCAAGACCAAAAGAAAAGAAAAAGATTCACTTTTTTTTCCAAATTGGTATCTGATACACTACTTATTCACTCTTCTACATTCTGCAAATAGGTTCATTATACCAGTGATAAAATCAGTACCCCTTAACCTCAATCCACCCCACACCAACATTTCAAGACCAAAAGAAAAGAAAAAGATTCACTTTTTTTTCCAAATTGGTATCTGATACACTACTTATTCACTCTTCTACATTCTGCAAATAGGTTCATTATACCAGTGATAAAATCAGTACCCCTTAACCTCAATCCACCCCACACCAACATTTCAAGACCAAAAGAAAGGAAAAATACTCACTTTTTCCCAAATTGGTATCTGATAAACTACCTACTCATCTGCCTAACTCTACGAATAGAAGAAAAAAAAAAAGTTCACATTTTCAATAAAAAAAACAAGTGAAATAATCACACCCGAACCCAATACCAGAATCAAGAATCAACATTATGAGGTTAAAATGAGGGGAAAAAGACAATTTTTTTCAAGTGGGTATTTGATAAACTACCTACTGTGTTGATTAACGGTCGCAATTTGAGTGAAAGAAGACGAGAGAGGGACATTTTTGCTCTCCCCTCTCTTACCGGTAGAGAAAAGCAACAGCAGAGGGTTTTGGCGAGGTTTTAGGATCCTCAGAACAATCCATGTTACACAAGTAAATATAATGAACTACCTAAAATACCCTTCTTGCTTAATCGCTCTACAAAATATTTTTCCTTCGTACCGAATACACATTGACTATGTTGTTATTTTGTCATTGTTATTGTTCATTCAAATTCACCTTGCGTAAAAACTTATAAGTCTTCATTTTTAACAACTCAAATATGTATTGATTGAAGTTAGGCTATATACTAATTTGATGTCTAAAATTGTTTTGTAGTCGCTAGATATATCCAAAAAAACTAATAATACCTTCGGGGTGACCCAATAATTTGTATCCTACCCTTCGGGGTGACCCAATAATTTGGGCTTGAAATTTCTATGTTGGAGATTTTAAGTTCGAAATCTCTTGCCAGCGAAAACAAGAGATTTGCCTTCTAGGTCGAGCTCATCGCATCGATCTTGCCTAGTGCGGGCTACCTCTCCTATGAAGATAGCGACTACGGTTTCTCTTGTCAATAAAAAAACCGTATCCTAACAAAGTACCCATGGAATTGTTCCACATGACATATGACATAATTTGGAGACCAAAAAATTAAACTCATGGGCAAACATTATTAGGTAAACTTAAGAGTCATCCTCCTCAAATTGAAGAAGTCACACATAGGTAAACAAAATTGTCTTTTTTATAAAAAAAAAAATTCTATGTTTTGATTGATTTGAATATTACGTGTTTGACATTGATTTCCTTTATTCTTAAAATCGAAAAAGTAAAAACAAAAAAGATATAAAACCCATATATAAATCTAATAATCATAAAAATGTGAAATATAGAAACTACTCCCCTAAAATTCGAAGTTGTTAGCACAAGAGCCTCTAAGTTTTAGAATACACAAGTTTGAAATAATCTAATACAACTATCTAGAACAAAAAAACGAAAAATAAATTATACTCCCTCCGTCTAACAATAATTGTCCACTATACTATTTTGGAATGTCCAACAATACTTGTCCACTTTATGAAATCAATGGATAATTTACACTTGGTTCCTAATTTACCATTATCATTAATTATAGTTATTTCTCTATTACATTATCCAAGACATTATATTTATTATATTCAAAAGGTGATATAGTAAAATTACTCTTCTATTTATAGTTTTTTAAGAAATGTGCAAAGTCAATAGTGGACAAGTATTCATGGACAGAGGGAGTAATAAGGAAATTCGATGTTGTGGATCAACCAAGCCGAACAACCACCGACTCAAACTCCACTATCACACGGATCAAAACCTACACCGAAAAAAAATGCAACAAGTGTAGTATGAGTACATAAACAACGTATAATATCATCAAAATAGTAACGAGATTTAATCGCTGAAAACACTAGCGTTAGTATTAGACATGTTTAAACATTTAATGATAAACAAGTTAATGAACAATAAAGGTAGAAAAGCTCAACTTCAACAAATAAGTTTATCATAAATTACAGAGAAACAGACGATGCAATCCAAAATCTAATGAATCATCACAGAATGTGCATTGTGGATGATCATATATATATAATATGAGTAACATACATTATAACAAATTCGATTATCAGGGACAAATAATTTCGTCATTTATAAATCATATTTCGTCACTAAATATCTTGTGAGATGAAAAATAATTTGTCACTCAGTTATCACTAAATGTGTGTCTCTAAAAGTATACAAAGACGATTTAGTGCTTCGTCGCTAAAAGTATTATATTAACTACAAAAAGAAAAATCATCCCCAAATGCACATTTGTGACAAATTAATTTGTCGTAAAAAGTATATTTTTTGTAGATAATAGAATGTTTTGTCACTAAAAAGGTTATTACTACCGACAAAATTATATCGTCGGTAATTATTTTACTTCAATCAGTGACGATATCAGTTGTCTCTAAAGTTATATGCATTTCGTAGTTGAACAAAAATCTAATTTCGTCACTAATGACTATATTTTATATACCAAAAAATTATTTTTGTTATTTAATGTATTAATTAGGGACAAATTTATTATTATAAAAAAAAAAAGGTTAATTGTCCTATTATCCTCCCTAGGGGTGTTCACGGGTCGGTTTGGATCGGTTATTGGTCAAAACCAAAACCAAACCAACTTAATCGGTTTTAAAATTATCAAAACCAAACCAAACCAAATATAATATACATTTATCAGTTTGGTGGTTATCGGTTTCGGTTTGGTTTGGTTTGGTTCGGTTATTAACCATACACAAAAATAAAAGAAACAATTCATTCAAAATGTGAAAAAAGTGACAACAATCCATTCAAAACAAAAAATAGTTAGAATGACTTAAATTACCAAACTTTCGATCACTAAATTTACTATCAATAAAGCTTTAAAATTCACTATATTGGCCTAGAAGAAAGAGACAATAACATTTTCAGTTCCACAAAGAATTGTATAGACACTCATATACATGAAATTAATAAGAGAAATATTTCCACCTTAGGCTTTCTTGCTTTGATCAATAAGTAAAGTATAAGGAAATTTTAATGAAAACATATATGAGATCTTTAAAATTGTTTATAAAAATAATATATTAAGTATGTATATTAATAAAATATATGTATATAATTCATCGGTTCGATTCGGTTATTTCTTTGAATTTTTTCGAATAAAACCATAACCAAATCATATACTACCGGTTTTCAAAAATCTAAACTCAAACCAAACTCAAATAAAATAAGGAAATTTTAATGAAAACATATATAAGATCTTTAAAATTGTTTATAAAATAATATATTAAGTATGTATATTATAAAATATATGTATATAATTCATCGGTTCGGTTCGGTTATTTCTTCGGTTTTTTTTTTATAAAACCATAACCAAATCATATACTACCGGTTTTCAAAAATCTAAACCCAAACCAAACTCAAATCAAATCAGTTTTATTTTATCGGTTTGGTTTGGTTTGGTTTTTCTTTATCCAAACCGTGAACACTCCTAATCCTCCTGCATCTCAAATTTATTATAAACTCCTCTGTAGGAGCTCCCACATTATGTTTTCTTGGGGATTCGAACTCACAACCTTAAAGTTGGAAGTGAGGTGCTTACCATCTAATCAACTCTCTCTTGTCTCTCATTTTTAATTTATTTTCTACTTCATTCACTTCTTTCAAATTTAACTTTTGTAGATATAATTTATTATATGATTATTTATACACATACACAAGTGCATGAAATTTACCACCTACAATTCATTCAAATGTAGATATATTTTAATTAAACTGTATATTTTTTAACATATCTTTAAATATATTCAGTACGATTCTGTCATTTTATTCAGTTATTTTTATAAATTTTAAAATTATTTAGTACAATTATAAATTTATATAAAATTAAACTTTCGATTTTATTTAAAAAATTGAATAATCGGTTAAATTCGATCAGTAAATCAATTGTTTTGAAAAAAAACAATTGATACCCATAACTATAGTACTTCATCATAATATATTTGAAATCCTAGGTTGTTCATTTCTTTCATTTGGGCTTTCATTTTTTAGTTTATTTCGATTTTCACATTGATGAAAAAAGTTAATAGAAATTCGTGAAATATTGCGCACCTTTGCAAAGTCTAAGTTTGTAAGTCGATGTTATCTTTGTATAGTTGATCTACGTCTGTTTGTGGAATTACTATTAAATATCTATATATTTTTAGACAGAAGCAAATAGATTGACTTAGTCTATGCAGTTTACCAATCACAAAAATTAGCACCAAGACTTGAGAAATTATTTTTTCTATCGTCTTTATCGATGAAAGTGTATTAAATAAAAAACAAAAGTGTTAAACCAAAAAATATTAGTGATCTAGTTGCAGAACCGTACCCCACTCACGATACTTATAACCTGGATTGTATTTTTGAAATGATGCATTTTATAATTGTGTAATTTAAGAAAATTCAAGAATTGAACTTTTTCATTTTTACAAAATGGACTGAATTCGTTGGTTTTAATATTTTCCCTCGCCAATTAACGAAAGAACTCTGTCTATTTCTTATGAAGCACTTATATTATTCTTTTCGTAAGTTGTCACTTGTAATTATGAACAATTGTAGCCAAAAAATTGTATTTAGCTATGAATTTTTTTCGTAGCAAATAATTGAATTATTCACTACAAATTTTAAGCCGTCGCTATTTAACACCTTACATATTTTGTGACAATTTTTTTGTTGTCACTAAATCACAGATTGATTAGAGACAATTAAATCTTTGTCACCAATTATTTATACTATTAGTGATGAAAATAAATATCATAATTAAAGCTAAATTCTTATAGCTAAAGCTTATAGTAATATTTAACTACGATGTCTAATTTGTCGATATTGTAACAACATATTTTTTTAGATGAAATTTTTTGGGTCCAAAAATCAATAAATTTTAAGACAAAAAATAATTTGTCATGAATTAGATAAATTATTAGTGACGAAATAATGTGTCACCGATAACTTTAAATTCGTGACTAACACTACTTAGCAAATGGCGCCAATTAATTTTTTGGTGGGAAACTTTTGTACACGAAACTTTGCTACGGATTTTTATGTTTCGTCACTAAAAGTATGTGTCTCATATATTTAAGCACGAAAAGTAAATTGTCACTAAAAGCGAACAATTAGTGACGAATTTGATATCGTAGCTATATATCATATTTGTTGTAAAGATATGCCCCTATATATGTGGCATATAAACTGTACAAAAAGTGAACCAAGGCAACTCAAGTATCACAAATGTATGAGATATTCAGAGTGATGCATTTAACAAACAATCTGTATATATCACCTGGTACCCGCATAGGCGTTCGTCACCTCACCTACATGGTAGCCCCTTATCCCACACACTTATTATTATTATTTTCAAAAATATCTCTCAATCGGAGTCTAAAAGATCTTAACTTACTGCAATCAAAAGAAGCATAAATCATAAAACAGTCTTCCCCTTTGTCAGAGCCTAGGAGTGCTCCCAATCTATCAAACACGAGGTCTACATAAG